AATGCAAATAATATTCTAACAGTCTTCATATATTTATGATTAATTATTTGATTTTTTTATTATTAAAAAAAAAAAAAACGCTTTTTAAACAATAACATATTAGTGAAGTTATAAAGATATTTTTTGGTTTAATTATGTAGTACTATGAAATATTACATTTAAAAATATATAATCAAGCCAATATTAATAATATTGATTTAATAAGCTAGGAAGTATAACTATATATACCTACTTAAAATTAAAATTCATTTTTTTATTTATACACAATAAATAATTGGTTCTTATACAAAAACATATCAATTAAATTAGCAGAAATGGGAGAGGGTTTGGTAGGTTAAGCTCTTAAATAATAACCCCTCAAATGTTTTTCACGATTTATGTAATAAATAAGTTTTTATGATTATATTTGATATTGATAGACGATCGTTAAAAATTTTTATATAACTTGTGATATTATACTAAAACTAATAATTATTATATTATATTAAAACTAATAATTATTAATCAATTAATGAGAGTTGAGACATATAAAAACATGTGCAGATTAAGAACTTTGACGATTCATTATCGTTTCAACTTTCTACTCAATCTCAAACTGAACATTGAAAAAAATTTGTTAACAATTATTAATATTTGATAATGAAGATATTATCGGAAAATTTACTAACTTAATATTCTAAAAAAATACCATGACAAAAAATTAAAAATACAATTTAAGTAAAAATATACATCTTTAATTAATTATTCAAATATTTGTTTGTAATTATTTAGGAAATAATATAATAGATAAAATGTAGTAAAAAAATGAGTACAATATTATGTTTTATTAGCTTTTATGCATGATTAAGGGGTGTGGTACGCGCCGATTAAACGTCTTGCTTGTGTATAAAAATTATTACCCTCCCTCCCACCCGATTTTTTAATGTATTTCCGTCTATGATGAAACGTGTATTATAATGTATAAAAAGTATACACCAACAATAACTATTTACATGTATACTCTACTATTCTACATAATATATAGTTTACTTTAGTTCTTTTAAAAATGGCGATTGCAGCTACGGTACATTTATCCTTTTGTACAACGTCTTATTATATAACTCGGCCAACCCCCTGTATTGTCCACCTGTCTATATAAAAAAAAAAAAAAAAACAAAAAGAAATGTCCGCGTGTTCTTTCTCTGCATGTCTGCATTCTCTGCACGCGTTTCTTATAGTCAAGGCTAACCGATTTTCTATACGTAATTTTCCATGCCGCAGATGTTTCCACTTCCTTCACCTTTGTGTGTATATTATAAATTATAATTTATAATATTTGATTTCTATATTCTTTCAGATAAGTAACTACTGTGCTAAATAGTTGACATCAGTGAATCAGTGACATGGCCAAAGTAAGGAGGATAAGCAAAATTTAGCCCCTCCCCTTGTAGACAGTGTTTCTTTATATAAAATATCAATAATTATTGTACTACTTAAGTATTAACTAAATGTGTTATCAGTTTAAAGCGCGGTTATCTACGGAGAAAATAACCATAGTTTAAAGCGTAAACAAACAATTGTACAATCACATTTTATCACTAAACATTAAATGATACACCATCATATCTCAAGTTAATTATTTAATATTTATTTATTAAAGTTATATTTTTTATTTTCAAATATTGGAAATAATAAATATATAATATATTATGTTTGATGTATATTCTATGTATATATAATATATCTATTTGCCAGATATCATATCCAGAATGTGTTAAGTATAGCTGTAGATATTAAAAATTCAAAATAGTTATTTATTTGATTTTTTCATAATATTTAGTTATAAATTATAATCATGAAAAAAGTAGGTCTTATAATTATCCTTGATATAATTATAATTAATTATTAATTTAAATGTAACAGCAATCAGGCTAATTTTTATCGCCGATTGATAAAACAATAATGATCAATCGTTAATGATCAATATTTTTTATAATTTAAATTAGATGTTGAAAATTCTTAGATTAAAAACCTAATGATATAATTTAAAAGCAAATTAAAAAGTATAAGAATAAAATTAATGTCTAATGAGTAATGACGTAAAAGGTTATCAAAAATTGTAAAAACTTTCTTTTTTCATTTATTAAAATGATTAATAAACCTATAAAAAATATATCAGCACACTATTTGATTTCTCTCTTTAGCTCATGCGTAGCATAGACAAAACGCATTTGTACAAAATCATTATTTGAACTAGTTTTGAGAAATTTTTAAGTAAAATCAATCATTATAAAAGTTATAGAAGATAATATTTTTATGGGTTTTACGTATCCATTTATCTAAGTATTGTCTCAAAGCAATTAAATAATTATTTGAGTTAAATTTTTTTTTGTATTAATTAATAAAAATATAAAGTTAAATAATAATAAAAAATAAAAACAATACTTATGTCAAACCCTTAAAAATATAATATTATATATTTTTATAATAGGTACGATTTTTTATTTATTTGAATTTGACCGGTTTAAGGACTCAATATACATATATAATACATTGCTATAATTTTAAGTAATAAATGATTTTATGTATACACTGTATATAGGATAGAATAGAAAATAGAAAATTAACAACTAACTTAAAAATTACGATTTAAAAGAATGATGATAATTAATATTATACAATATAATATTGGTATAAAGTTTGTATTATAAAATAGTAATATGTATTTAATATTCTTATAGCTATTGTTAACTAACTCAGTAATCAAAATATAATATAAAAATAGCTTAAGAGATGATAATGATTGAGTAAAATGTTTATGTTTCCTTAACAAATACATAAGTGTATTATATATATATTTTATATTTTACTTTAAGATAACTCGAAAATCGTAAGACAACAATTTTAGGCGAATTCTTTCCGTCTTCGTATGTTTTATGTGGGTGTGAGAGAGAATACAAATAGCTTATAAACATAGCCATAATAAACATTTCGAAAGAAATCTCAATATCATTAAATATTTTTAATTTGTCGATTGTGATGATTTATCAATATCCATCAAGTTTTAATTTATTTATTAATAATATACAATTATTCTGTGTCAAAATAAACAAGATAAATACCGTCATCTGATTATTATATTCTGTCTAGACTTTAGATTATGTCTTTTCTTTAAATTGTTATTTGTTTTATTTAAGCCTCAGACGTGAGTTAGTCATAATTTTTGATAATTTTTATTTATTTATTTATACAGAAACTAGATGACTCGTCTTGGCTTCGTCCGTGATTGGTTGTTTATTTTGCCTTCGAACAATGATATATTGATATATAAAATTTTTTATTCAAATTTTATCGTTTAATAATGTGATTAACAAGTAAATATAAAAAACGGTTAATGAAAACGTATTGAAATGTTTCTAATGGTATTAAATATTCGGTATAATATACAATAATATGTACAGTACATAAATTCACCTACATAATTTAATAGTAAAAACGTTAATTGAAAAAAAAAATTTTAAGTATAAGATATATATAAATATGTATACCTAGTTGGTAAGTGGGTGGGTGGGTGTGTAAATTTTAGTTTGCTAATGGGTTATTTTATGTTCGTTTCGCCACTACTATATAGTATATAATATAATCAATAAAAATTTGATTAAATATGTTTTCTTACTTGACTCAATAATAAATGGTTAATATAAAATACAAATATCATTCATTAATGAATCATATTTAAAATGATCGATAAAAACTAAGATACTAAAAACATTTAGTAACATTTCAATACTTAGCTTAACCTACTTTTCTTTTTTTCTAATTATTTTAAAAAATATTGAGAATTTTCAATTCCCAAAAGTACCGCAACTAGATTCAATTTGCTATCAGAAACCTCCTTTGAAGTTTATGAATAATGTATTTATTCAATTAGAAAAAATGTCTTCAGATATAAAAATAAATATAAGAACACATACTGTAAAGTTAATACATTTTTCACTCTGCTTAGAATCTAAAAAATCAATTTTCTGCGCGAAATTGGTTATAGTAATTATAAATAATATTTTGGAAAAAAACAATTTACTTAAAAAAAAAACAGAAAAGTTATTCATTATATGACTTAGTTAACTTAACTTTAACTTTTTAACTCGTCAATGCCCAACCTAGAATATATATATACATACATACATACATGCATAGGTATGATATATTATTATGCTTTCATCTTACATGGAACGCTGCTTATAACTTGTTGTAAAGTATTAACAGAATAAGTTTGTTCCCTATCTCTAAACAAATCACGATTCTAAGAATATAATATTATGATTAAACATTAAAAACATTTTATTTCGTTTTCATTTTAAACCCAAGATTGTAAGGTCAGACATGAATATTGTGATTATATCTACTACTGATTACCTATATACAGGGCACTAGCTATATACATCTATATACTATCTATCTTACTGACCAAGTAATCATTGTATTAATCTTCATAAGGTTAAATTTCTTACCACATGTGATAAACACGTTTTATAACAAACAAAACAATATTTAACGCGATTCATGCACAAATTAAAATAAGTGTTTTCGTCTTAATATTCTTGAGTATAATATGTACCTGAACTTCAAACTGTAAACAGTAGATATATAATTTATTATTTTACTATCTTACAATTGTGACGATTTAAATTTTACAATATGTATACGCCTTAATAGTCAGATATAGTTTAATTATATTGGTACTAAGGTACTCATTGTATATAATATATAAGACTTATGTTTTTATGCGGACATACAATTTTTATTGACTCAAAATCTAATGACTGTAATTTTTATTGACATTTCATACTGTATTTTAATTATTATTATTAATTGTAATTGAACATTTTGTAATACAAGATGAATTAAATAAATAAAAATTGAGTACTCTCAATTTATTTCATAATTTTGTACAATATTAGTTATCATATGAAAATAGTATATTAAAATTAAAATACATTTCTAAAAACATCATTAATTTTAATGAAATATTAATTTAATATTTGACTGTCGTATTGTTATACATTTGTATGCTTAGCATATTAATTATTATTTAGAGTGTTTATGTCCTTCGTGGTTGTGGCCAGTGTGATCTTCAGTTGAATGATCATGTCCTACGTGATCAGTTCCTTCGTGAGTATGGCCTGTATGGTCACCTCCTTCGTGGCTCTCGTGAGCTTCGTGGTTATGGCCAGTGTGATCAGCACCATCTTCTTGATGACTTTGTTCACCTTCGTGATGACAGTGAGCGCTCATACATATGTTTATTGTAAAAAATGTCGCCAAAAGAAATACTACCTAAACAAAATATAAGAGTTTCGAATTTACTTTGACGTCTAACCTCTAAATGCTACGTAAATATTAATAATAAAAACATTTTTTTTTTCGTTAATTATTATTTGGTTATTAAATATATAGATACCTAATATATTGTATTCAATTCCTATTAATGGAAAAAATATATTTAATTTATTTTATTTTATAATGTGATCAAAACTTTCAAATTAATATTGTCTAGTTTATAAATAAATAAATTGTGAATCAGTAGATTTGAATATTATTATCTACTTATAAAACTGGCTATTTTTTTATAGAATCACAGTATCAACGTTTTTATGCAGCTTAAAAAATTGTCAGTTCTACATACTTAATATTTTTGATTAATTTACGAAAATTTTTGATTATAGTTAAAATGTATAACATACAAATAAATATAGATAATATGCAATATATATTTTAAACTAGAAAAAAACTTTAATTTTAAGCATTAATACTAATCTAGATGGCTGTATACTGTAACGCAGGAAGATTCGCTAGCGAGTTTATATTATTTATAAGTTTTTATTACAATGTAAATTTCAAAAATTTGCTTTTCTTGCTTAAAGGTTGATGTATTCATCGATAATAAATATTTGTTTTGAAGATGTAATAAAAATACTACTTTTAAAGCATAATTTTATGCCCCTGGTAATTCGCCATATACCTCTAATTATATAGTAAGTCGAAGAAGAGTTTCTTTATACAGAATAGATTAGATAAATTACGAAAAATATTCAGCCTATGTGTTATTTAACTAATATAAGTTTTTATTGTGTACCTTATAAAGTTAGTAAATAAATAATAAAGTAAAACAGATTATATAAATAAATTATTGAACTGGATTATATATTTAAACAAAAAGTTAAAACAGACAGATAGAATATATAAAAAGGAATTATTGCATATTAATAATTTTTAGAACTAACAATTTTTAACCAATATTAGTCAATTTGTGATATAATAAAGTACTTACCAACAATTTCATGATGTTAAATGTAAATTAATAATTTTATAAAAAAAATATTTTAGAAATAATACTATTAGAACTCGCTATAAGAACTGTGAGTACAATATCAGTATACCTCTATATAAATACACAGTGTTTGAAGCGATAAAAATTTATCTACAATAAATTGTGTTGTTTTCTAAAAAATATTCCACCTCTATATTTATTAAGGTTGTTTATAGCTAATTAATATGTATTTTTATAATCTTATATTATTATACTATTATTATTATTTTAACTATTATATTTCTACGTGCCTAATACAATTATACACAATAACATTATTAAGGATTATATTTTACATGATTTTGTAAATATAAAATTATGTTTGATAATAAATTATTAAAACGTAAATTGCATTACACATTTCAAATTTGCAGGAAATTTCTGATCGAAATTTATATCTAATTAGTACTTTAAAAGGGGGAAATCAGAAGTGGAATTATCTCAAGAATATTTACAGAAAATTAATGTTCAATCTGTGTTTTTATTATGATTATAAATGACCGTAGAGACTTGACATTTTCACAAAATATTTATAGTAACAGTTTTTAAACATCATAAGTTTTAAAATATTAAATAAACTTTATAATTTTTTCCTATTTATGAGCACTTAAAATTTTCTAAATTTAAAAAAAAAATGTTATAATTATACATGATGAAATTTCGTTTAAGAGTAATAATGAAAATTTAATACTAGGTAATGCAAGGTTTCCTCAAATTTTGTTTTTCTTATAGCAAATAGATAAAATATATCGAAAAACATTAAAATATTTTATTTTTTTTATTAGAGTTTGAATTATAAATTTTGAAACAATTAGTCAATATAATAAAAATTTAAAAATTATTTAATTTTAATACCTAAGGTTTGACAATATAAAACTAGATTTCCCGTAATTTTTTGAAACAAGAGTTAAAAAAAAAAGTAGATTTATTTAAGAACAAAATTTTCATTTATTTGGATTTTTATACTTTTTTAGGATCCTATTGCGATAATTTATTTTTACAAACAAAACAAAATCTTGTCACTGTAAATCGGTAAGCAGTTGAATTGTTTTAAAAATGTTGATTTCTCTAAAAAAAAAATTGATTGAATAATTTCTGAATTATTAAAATGTATATATTACTTAATAATGATAATCCTTAAAAGTTAAAAATGGATTAATAAAAATATAAAATAAAGACTTAGATAGGTTTTTATATGAAGCTATGATGGTTTAAAAATTGAAATAATTTTAATATTTATATATTAGCATTTTATATTCATAAAAATTATCTAAATTTAACATGTACTATATGTCCAACCTGGGTATAAAATGTATTTTATGATATATGAAATACAATCATAACTAAGGATTATCCTTAAAGCATACAATAAATATTTTAGGAAATACTTTTTTTAATTTTAATTTCTATTTTTCTAAATTATAGAAAAATAATATAATTTAAAATGTACAGTAACAGAATATATGTAGTTCTTATTTGAATAAAATGTAATTTATATTGCTAAACAACACTTCTCAAATGGTATAAAGAATGAATGTATTTGTAAGTACGGTCTTTAAACATACTTAAAATGTTTAAAATTATTTAAGAATAAAATGAGTGAGCATTCTGGGTTGACTCTTCATTCATTTTAATATTTGTTTTCACTTGAATCTACAACTGTAGTTCCTAAACTTATAACTCATAAGTCATTAGTTATTAATATTATCGTAACCTATATGTTATCGGTGTGTCATCCGGTCATGCATGTCACTATAGTAGGTAACCTTTTTATTTTTAATTTTCGCGATGCGCAAACGACAAACACCATATGGGTAGACCACCCATTTATATAGGTATATTAAATTATATATATATATAAGTTTATTATTCCCAAGAAAATCCTCTATTTTGTACAATATTACTTTAGTTTTTTGTAAGTTACGTAATAAACTATAAAGGTAATCGATTTGAATATTATATGCGTATCAGATACTTGTCTGCTTTACCGACCACTCATTTAAACGGAATGGCGCATAATTCACCGATGTTGCGCGGTAGACCCACAGAGTTTGGCTAACTTGATATACCTATATGGCTAAGATGTAAGTATTGTTTTGTAATATTATAAAACATAGATTTATTATTAAAACCTTATTTACGATTTTTTTAGTCAAATATACAAATAATATAGCGAATAAAAACATGAAAAATATTATGTTGAACTTGTAATCATTTAATTATAATATAATATCTTATTAAATATATGAAGGTATGTATTAAGTATACAGTAAATAAGGGCTGATATGATAAGTACATTAAAGTGTTTAGTTAACATTAAATAAGTTATATACATTTAGGAAGCCATAAAATAGTATATTTTTATCCAATTACACATGTTTTACGTAACATACGGCGGCGATATATCTATGATTATGTCAAAATAATAATAATAAAGTACCTATAGGGACGTATTTAGTATAACGCGAACTTTTAACGATGAAAAAGACAACTCGGTATTTATTGAAAAAGAAATACTCGTTAAAAACAATATTGACCTCAAAAGTTAAGTCGACTATCGACCGATATAAAAAATGCCGATTTTGGTTAACTAAGGGCTTGTGGAGCATCGTAAATAATTGGAAAGAGTCTGTACCGGTGGCAAGCAAACAAACTACTAGAATCGAAGATATTTTCCGTGGATTGGATGAAAATAAAGACTTGTTAGAGAAAAGGCTGAATGACGGCCAGGATTTATACCCCAATTGTGATACATCGATTTGGCTAAGGAACTGTACACGTGACATCCCGACTCCCGTCCTAGGAAAAATCGAAGGTAAGTCGTGTTTGAATATTAAATTGATATATTACTGCTTCGTTGCATAGAACGACAGAAAATATGCGATTCAAATGTAAGCCTATTAGTTATTAATTATTATGCAATTCATATAACGCACCGAAGTCTGAATATTAAACATTTTTAAATATCGATTTAAAATAACAATTATTATACTTAGGTAAGATACCAGAATGGTTATCAGGGTCACTGCTAAGAAACGGTCCAGGGAGTACAAAAGTGGGAGATTACGAATTTAAGCATATATTTGATAGTTCTGCTTTACTACACAGGTAAAAACGATAAAGACAAATGTTTAAAATACGTCATATATAATATGTGATTTATTTGTTGACTATACATTTCTATGAATTATAATGTAAACACTATTGTATGCTTTAATAGATTTGCATTTAAAAATGGAACAGTATCATATCAGTGTAGATTTTTGGAATCGAACACATACAAACAAAATAAAGCAGCCCAAAGAATTGTTATTACCGAATTTGGAACCAGAGCATGTCCTGATCCTTGTAAAACAATCTTTCACAGGTACGTCTTATCAAGCATAGGTAACACCAAACCTGTTTTTCAATACTCAAATTATACTTTTGTCTTTTAATGCATTAAAATAGAAAAGTTGGATTAATGCACATTTAATAATAACCAAATATATTTCGCTGACGCTATAATTCTGATAAAATATTAAACACGTAGATTACTGACTAATTTCCTAATAGTTGTACATGAATATTTTAAAAAAATAGAGTCGTTTTTGTTAGAAAAATTAAAATATCGATAAATGTAAAATTATCATTAAAAACAAAAATTATGAACTAATCCATCTCTGTCCCTTTTACTATAAAATAATATATCGTTATTGTAGAACGCCAAAAAATTATTAATAGTGAATAGTTCTATATATAGATACTATTAAATATATTATATTTAATTCTAAATAAAAGTATTTTTAATTGTTTAAAATTAACAGCACTCTATAACAAAAAGACGAAATAGATGAAAAATATAATGTAGGCATTTTAATTTAATATTCAGGTGTTTCATTGTCGTTTAAATAATATTTATTTTATTTTAATACACAAGAAAAAAATTTAGTAAGGTCAAAAAAGCATTTAGATTTGATAAATGTTAAACATGCTTTTGTACACAATAATAGATAATAAATAATACTTTATTATCAGTTACTATCAAATACTATTATTATAAATATCAATTCTAAACAGGTAGGTAATGTATTTATTATGAATTTTTTTTTTTAAGTTATACTTGATAAAAACAAATTAGTGTATACTATATAAGTGAAAAATTAAAAGAATATTACTATTGACATAAAATTTTCACTAAACATTTGATTTTATTGAAGATTTATTAATTTTTAAATAACTATTAAGTATCCAATTAAACAAAGAATCTAACTATTTTTAATTATTATTTGGAAATCTTAATTTACTGATTTAGGTACTAAAGCCTAATAATAATTTATGGAAAATATTGAAGGTTACCTATAGTACCTATGTTTATTTACTCATTAAATAAATTCTACTTTAAAATAAAAATAATTAAATCTAGAATAAATTGATCAAATATGTTTTAACTGTTTTAAGGTCATAATTTATAAAATTTGATTTAAAAATGTTTACTTTAGCCAATAGTAAACATTATTATTTTTAAAATTAACTACCACAATATATTAGTCCAGATAAATCTATAAATATCAGTTTCAAAATATAACAGATAGTCTACAGATAGACGTTAAATATAATATCTTCTAAATTTTACCAATTGTTTCATGTTATTATGTGTTATGTTTTATGTATTAATCTATATTAATATCTTTAGTGAAATGATGAACGTTACAAATATTCATGCACAGCTTTCGTAACTAATAAACTTATTAAATTTATTTATTAAATAAATGCTGGACACTAGGAAAAAATGCCTGTATATAATTTCGTAAGAAACACAAATTCAACAACAACAAAAAAAATAATAATAATAATAATATTAACTAAATATCAATAAAGACAATAAAAATGAATAGAAGTACACAACTCCGGAAGTAGATATAAAATTATCATTAAATATAAAGAAATCGATGTTCAATATAACAACATTTAATTGCCACCGATTAGAAAATGAGCTTAGATAATAATGAAGGTTAAATAGTTAAAAAATAATTAATAATTATGTCGTATATTAATATTATACCATTAATTATAAATACTAGTATTTATAATCAATGATTATACTCATATAACATTAATATTTATAATTAAAATATTTCCACAGTTACCAAAGTGCCACACACGATAATAATCATCACTCAAGCACTCCTGAAGTCCTGAATATGTCATGGTCACAGCTTATTTAACAGCTTTATAGCTATAACCATTGATTATAATTTATTATCAATGCTATAACCAACCAAACACTTTTGAATTTTTAAAAACTAAATCCAGACCCAGACCGAATACGAATTGTTTATTGTATGAACACATGTTAGGATTTTGTCTTACTATAATATTATGTATCATATCATTACGTAGTAATAATAGTTGCATCAGAAATAATCTTTACGAGTAATATTTTTCGAAGCTTATAATTATTATGATTTCAAATTCTAAACTGAACACCAGAATAGATACAATATTACTTAATTGATACATATAAATATGTGAATTTTACATTATTATTACTATTATCATTTACTTTCTTTAGTGTTTAGAAAGTCTACATTATTGTCGCATTGAATTTCCTAGAAGTGAATTTCAAAAGTTATTATATGGAAAATAAAGGGTTTGAGGATGTATAAAGTTTTGTTACTAATTTTGTCTTATTGAATACATTTTTAAACTAAGACGGAGAAAATAAAAAGTGGAACTGAACAATTAAGATTTTAATTTAAATTAAGTTGTATTTTTTCATGAAAATTAAAACCACTCAATTGAATAAAAAACTTTTATTTTAGGTTTTCTAATGTATTCAAATGGGGAGACGATCAATCAGACAATGCGATGATATCTATTTACCCAATCGGCGATGAATATTTTGCATTAACTGAGTATCCAATAATGATCAAAATTGATCCTATAACTCTCGAAACACTTAATACTGTAAATATAACATTATATAATAATTCTATATAAACTATAACATAAAAAGCGTATATAATAAAAATAATAAAAATAAGTTCAAATTTGTTTTTTAATTTAAAATAGAATCATATTATATTTACTTACTATTTAATAATTTTTTTTTAATTGTTATTCTTATATTAGTTTAATATTAATTGCGATTGGTAAGTACGTATTATGCATATTGAAAATTGCATCATAGGTACATTAAATATTGAACTACGAGTATAATATTTCATTTAAACATTGGTATTTATTTATTTTTTTTTTTTTTTTTTTTTTGATACATAATAATATGTTAGTATTAATAATTCAAATCTTATAATATTATTAAAAATTTTAACAGTTATTTAAATTTAAATTGGAATTTAATCTTTTGCAATTTGCATACACATATTATGATATAATATGCAATATGCATATAACATATATGTGTGTGAAATGGTGTTATTGAATAAATAAAATGTTTTAATATTATCAATTATGATAAAAATGTGAAAATATATTTAAAGATAATATGATTGTTATTTATCATTCTTACATTTAAGCACGTTTCGTGGTTGAACAAATTTATAAACAAAAAACTGTTATGCTTGCATTAATAGATAATAGTGGTAGGTATATTCTTACATAATTAATATTAAGTGGAAGTCGGCGTATTATATATTCTATCTTTTCCCAATGCGAATACATAACAAATTTTCATTCAGCAGAACCAACCTTGTGTTGTTAACTTTCACAAAATATTTTGTTAAGAACATTATATGCGTTTATACGTTGGCTTGTAAACGATACATTAAGTTTTCTGCGATAAACGAGCATTTTTAAGTTGTAATATTTTACATATCCATAACTTGCGTAAAATTTGAAACATCGTCAAGAAATTTCATCAAACATATATAATGGTCACGACTTTAAGTTTGATCATAGGTCTATTCATTATGATATTTAAAATTTTTAAAACTATAACAACGCTTGAGGGCAGAGATTGAAAATGTAGAGATAATATAAATAATACGTTGACATATATGTAACAGATTTACATTTTTCAATTAGATAGATATAGCTCGGCTGACTGGTATTGTTCATCACACTGCTCACCCACATATAACGGCCGATGGTGCTGTTTTCAATTTAGCGACTGTTCCAAAAATTGATGGACCTCATTATTGCGTGGTTAAATTTCCTCGGTTTGATTCAGGTAGGGGCCTTAAGTATTTTAAAACATTATTCTAATGGTGATCACCAAAAACTTTATCTTGCCCATTTCCTATGAATTGAAACCGATTTCATGTTTCTACCAATCAAAATTTGTATGCCGTAAAATATGACATATTCTTGGAAAATAAAAAATGTCTAACATTTTTATAATTGAGTTGAAAAAAAAATAAAATAAAAATATGAACTTAAAAAGTTGTATTATTTATAATTAATGTTTTTAAATATTTTATATTTTATAAACTATGTAAGGATAAAAGATACCTACGCAATATTTCAAAAAGTATTATTTTTAAAAATATTGTCTATACATTATTTTAAAACATTAAAAAACAAAATTTTTCTAAAAAATAATATTTTTTACTGTCATTATTTTTGTTACATTTTTAATGACAACATGCAATTTTAATTTATTTTTTCAAAGCAGAATATATTAATATATATCTAATTAGATTACTTTTATATACGGTTATAGACGATTAGTTTAAAAATTATAAGTATTTAAAATTTTGATAAATAGAGTGAAGTGGTCCAATAAAAAATGTAGGTTCACATTCTGCACGTCTATGCTTTACATTTTTATATTTAATAAGCTAATTGTTTGAAATTGTATTTTTATAGATTAGAATATTTAAAATAATATTCAGTTTAAGGATATATGATATTAAAAATACATGTTGTCATTCTAAAGAAAAAAAAAATGAAAAATTGATAATGATTTAAAATAGTAGGTACTTAATTATAATTGTTTTTCAAAAACTTTTTTTTTTTTATAATGAATTAAAACTATAAAAAAGAAATATGATATTAAGATCTTTTGTGAATTTCTAAAATAATAAGTGTCCTAATAATTAGATGGATCACTATTTTTATCAAAATATTCTTATATGACTGAATCCTGACTTTCGAACAGTGAAACGGAATTATTATTCAATTTTCAATATAAAAAAATTTAATTTAATTTAATATTTGGTGTATTGTGTCTTGTCATATTTATTAAAATGTATAATTAATCGTTTTTTAAAATTTTATTGTATTTTAACTTACTGTCCAATAGCTTTTAAAAGTTTCTGTACATTTTTCTCTAAATCTATAGTATAATTTATAAATATCATTGTAAAAGTAAAAAAAAAAACAATTATAGTATTATACATTGTATCAATGAGATAGATATTGTTTTGGTGGAAAAGTGGAATCAGTCAATATTTAATCTATACGAGTATACATATATTATTCTTTTCTTATTTATGTTCATACTATGGTAGGAATCAATGAAGATTTATAAATTAAAATTTTAATCTACGCCAAATTATAACTAAATAAATATATATTGTTTGTATTTGTTTAATTTGTCTTAAAACGAGCGTATACTTATCGAATAAGGTATAAACGTTCAATTAAAGATTTGCATATAAATTAATAATAATGCTGTTTAACATGCCGCATGTGTACACAATTTTTGGTAGGTACCTATACATTAGTTTTAATTGATAAACTATTTTTGTGTTCGCCAAGAAAGTGGATACCAATATTCAACGGACGAAATGTTTGAGCGAATGTGCGTTGTAGCTACCATTAAATGTCGGTGGCCTCTGCACCCTGGGTATATGCATTCTTTTGGCATAACGGACAATTATTTCGTCGTAGTTGAACAGCCTCTAAGTATTTCGTTGTCCACCGCTATGGTTAACAGATTCAAAAGAGATCCAATGTATAGTGCACTAAAATGGTTTCAAGACTGTCCGGTAAGTATTTTTCGGTATTTATAACAATTTTTCTACATATTATAGGATTTTAAAACCTGGAAATCTTCCATATGCTTTATGTACTATGCAGGGCGGATCCAAGAAAGGGGAGGGGGAGGGGGGTAAAGGTGGCGTCCCTCCTAAAATTAAATAAAAAATAAGATAGTATTGAGCCGAGTTTATTTTTATCTGATAACTTTTTTTTACTTTCTATGCACCTCCCCCCCTGGAAAATTTCTGGATCCGCTCCTAATACTATGTAGTATTATATAATTATTGATGTAAATTATAAATAAGCAAAAATATTATACAAGAATAATAAATCCAATTAATCCAAACTATGTAACTCTGTCTAAACTCTTTTCATACGTGTTATATAGACTCTAATTTACTTGATTTCGCGATCTGACGGCAAAACGGTGAAGATATTTAAATCGGATGCATTCTTTTATCTACACATAATAAATCAGTACGAAGAAGACGATAAAGTGGTGATCGATATTTGTTGTTACCGAGATCCTTCTATGATCGACTGTATGTTTGTCGAAGCATTACAAGTAAATTTTTAATATATGTAAAACATTTTTAATTAATAATTTCATTTTATTAATTCAAATCGTGTTAATTGGCTTATATAAGCAGTTGAAGTTGATAAACTTCTATCGACGCTACTTTGATTTTTAGTTGTTTTTCTCTCTTACTAGGGTGGGTAGCAAACAAAGGTACCGGTACAATTAGGTAATCCGATCCGGTTATGTATACTAAGCCACACATATTAATATATACATATTGGTTATCGATAAATAATTACAATATTATAATCTTAATCTGCAATAATCATTCATTCTATCATTGTATCATATATGCTATTCGTATTATGTATTTTAATAGAAAATAATTTCATTTACTTTACTCATATTTTTCAACTAGTAGACAATTCTTCTTTATTCCTATATTTTTGAAGTATATGTTAAATTATCAATCATTATGTTATTAAACTAGCTTAATAGATTGTTATTTCAGAATCTTAATAAAAATCCAGATTATGCAGCCATGTTTCGTAGCAGGCCTTTGAGATTTGTGTTGCCAGTTAACCATACTCCTACAAGTGATGATGTCGAAAACGAGCACCTGTATGTCTGTCCCGAAATGCTATGCGATTTAGGTTGTGAAACACCCAGAATTAATGACTTTAAAATTGGCAAAAAGTATAGATTTTTCTATGCAATATCATCCGACGTTGATGCTGAAAACCCTGGAACGGTAATTATTGTTATTCTATAGTTAAATGAATTATAGTTTATAATACTCATAAAAGGAAAAATGTTATGTATTAGACATTACATAGTATGTGGTATTATTTAAATCAGAATAACATTCTGAGTAACTCTGTTTTGTAAATTGTTTGTATATATTAATTAATGATATTCATTCGTGGGCTGCGAAGTTATAAACTATTATGTATAATAATGTTTACTTATTAAATATAATTTAAAAATGTTTTAATTTAAATTAATTATATAAAAATATATAGTTCTTAAATAATATTTTTTATTATCTTTTTTTTTTTTTTAAATTAGCTCATTAAAGTGGATACGTACAGTAAAACTTGCAAAACATGGTGCGAAAATAACGTATACCCTAGTGAACCAATTTTTGTTTCTTCACCGGACGCTGAAGTATGTATATGAATCACTCTCAAAAAATTGAATAATTAGTTCTTATAGTCGTTATACAATAATAAATTGATATTTTTTTTACTGTAATTTAAAGAAATATTAATTACGACGAATATTATAAAAATGTATTAATTAAAATAGTTTACTAAAATTTAATGAGCTAATGGTGGGTTACCAAATCATGTTTATGTAATGGTTTGCTATCACTATTTTAAATTCCTTAAATATGCTACGTGCCCAGAATAAATCTATATATTTATATTATTGTCTTCAATTAAATTATTGTATTTAGAGGATGTCAGAGTACTATTTGTTTCATCTCTCTGAATGACTAGTCAGTCCACTCGCAATATAGTAACTTTGTGTTAAGTAGAACCGATCTTGTGTAGTCAGCTTTAGTAGTAATGTGAATTAACATAATTTTATTATGAAATTTAGAATATAAAATATAATTTAAATTTTCACATTGGATTATTTACAATATTTCAGTTATAAAGCAGTTTTAATTGTAAAATTTTAGACATACATAAAAATTGGAATATTGTAAAATGCCAATATAAAAACATTTATGATATTTTTAACTTTGAGTTTTATAATAGATCAATTCACTCTAATACTAAAGCTAACATCACAAGGTGCTCTACTAAAAGTAAATTTTCAGTGTTCCACTGAGAGAGAAAATTAATATGCATTAATAAAGTCTTCTTTTGTATAGTACTGTCATATGAGTTAAATTTGTAGACCGATAATGACACTATACAAAAATAAATATGCAATTTGCGGTACGTCTATGTGTAAAAATTATTAACTGTATTTGACCTACTTATACAGGACGAAGATGATGGTGTAATTTTATCATCAATCATTTGGGGCGGATCGGAACGTACTCACCAAGTTGGAGTATTAATTTTGGATGCAAAGAGTTGGAAAGAAATAGGAAGAGCTATATTTATCACTCAGACATCAATTCCTAAATGCTTACATGGATGGTATGCTCCTGCTGTACAAAAACATAACATCAAAGTACTATCATAGATAATACAATTATTTTTGCCAATTAATAATTGTAATCTATTTTTCATTAGATACCTATCAAACCTTTCATATTATATTGTATACTAACTAACTTAACATATTAAATTTAATTTGTTCTACCATATATTTTCTAAACGTTATGTTTAAAATCAGTGTAGATATAATAGTAGGTTACAAGAATATATTTTCATCCCAAAAATTCAAAATCCTTAAAATTATCTGTTGTAAACACACATCAAGTCGTTTTATAACTTCAATATAAAATACGCAAAAATCATGAATTGAAAAATGTTAGAAATGAATAATATTTTTAATGATTATTTTAACACAATTTTAGTTTAATAATAAATATTTATCTTTAAAATAATTGGTTTCTATGTAACAAAAAAAAAAAAAAAAATTGTATTAAAAAAATCCCAAAATATTATAAAGTTGTGTTACATTTTTCTGATTGAGGATAAATTTAAATATTTATTTTTGCCTTTTGGTTTATAAATGGATTGATTCATTTCATACTTAAACAAATAAATGTAACTGTAAGAAAAATGTTTTAATACTGCATGATGTATAAATCGTATGTTATAATATAAAAAAAACATATTGCTATGTATAAAATATTTTGTAAATTAAACCAGACATTATTATCAAATGTTATCGACAAACATGACCTGACCTGTTTAGAATGAATATAATATAACACATGTGCTATCGATTCATTTACGGTCAACGTATTTTTCTTTTCCTTAGTGATCAACTATTTAGAAATTACTTAAATACCGAATTATGAGTGCTATGTGTGAGTTCAGTATGCTATAATTATGAATTATGATAAATCATTAATTGAATAACGCGTAGAAAATATTCCCCAATTACATAATTAATTGTTTAATACTATCACATTCAACTAGGGCTAAACTATAGGATTTTTAGTGACGCGAACAAATATATGCAGGATATTAATTATATACAAAATTATATACAACAATTTACAGAAGAGCAGTACTACCTTATCTACTTATCTACCATTTTTTTTTTTTACTGTATCAAAAAAGTAACAGATATTGTATACATCGACTGTAATAATAAAAATAATAACTGCAGTTTACATTTCAAATTTATATAGAGCGTATATTAATAATCTTTACCCGGAAATGGCTATTCTATAACACGTGTACCAAAAATAACACGTTGGCCAAATTTTTATGTTTTATAATACTCAAAAATATGTTTATTTCATTGTTAAATCTTAAAATCTTAAAAATAATAAAATTGTGAAAAAAAAAATATTACTTATTTATAGATTAAAAAGTTATTAATTATAACATTTTGAAACTTGTTAACTTATTTCTAGATATATTTTGTATTTTGAAAAAAATAATTCATTCCATACTCACAATACAAATTAATATTCTTATCAACAAACAATGTTGTGAAAATGTATTTTCTACATTGAATGCAATCAGTTCAGATCAGATAAATGAGACTAGTACTGTTTGTATTTTATTAAAGCTTACATGCCCCCTATTTAAAAATGTTTAATTATTAATAATAATAAAAACCGTATTAAAAATATAATAAAATTGGCGTAAAACTTCAGTTAACAATTGAAATAATATAATCTATGATTGTAATATTACAAATTAAAAGATAATTCTCAAAAATAAGAACAGAGAGCAGAAAGAATAGCTTTACAAATTTACAACCAAGTAATGTTTATATTTTATAAATAGCACATAAGTATTAATTCCTCTCAAAATTTGTTTAGAAAAAATTTTTTTACACAGTTATAGTCATATGATTTTTAAATTTAATAATTTAATACCAATCTTAAAATTTAGGTTTAAGTATGCTTGCACAGCTGCACTACAACTCTGTAGTTATAAAAATTAATAGAAATAAGATGTTGATAACTTTTGAATTTTTTTCTTTAATCCTTTATACAATATTAACTAGGTTAAAAATTTCTTTCGTGCTTGAATGCATATATTTATTTTTATTTTTAACATCATTTTTTTAAAATATTTTTCATAATAGTTTATTTGTTTTATTTTTCATTATAGATCATTTTCTCTAAATTTTAGATTTTAAAGAAAATATTTAAGTTTTTTTTAAAAATATTCGTACTACGATTATTGAAGGATTTTGATGTGATTAGATTTATCGCATACAAGTGCTCATACAGGTATACATAAATATATAACACGTGTTTTTATCAACAAATATTTGTACAATTAAATATTTTTCTTCAAATAATTTTAATTATTTCGAAAAAATAATTTGTAATTTTTTATCGTTTTCCCTTTTTATTTTTTAAATCATCAACATCCTACCATTAAAGCAATATATATTAAACTAGATAACTATAATCTGTATAATGGGTTAGTATTGAAATCGCCGCAGCGACGATTTGCCTTCCAACCACATAAACGGCGAAGTTGACGATGAATCAGATTCAATAGTTGGGCCTATGCCGCGAGCGTTGGCGACAAATGGGTGGGACGATGACGACGACGATCCGTGAAAGACGAAATGCGTGGCGGAAGCGGCGTTTATGACGTTGTCCCGGTGGCTAAACGGGTACATGGCTTTTGATGGTTTTCCGAAGTCCGCGATCTCGCACCGAACCACGCCGTCGTGTGGGTCGTCTGACCGACCGGCAAGGTCGGTTACCGCGAACCAACCGGTGCGCCTCGATAACAGCTCGAGAGTGAACACGGCCGCGGCCATGGAGAACCCGCACACCACCACCGCGTATGTGGTGTACAAGTCCGAGTTGCGGAGTTGCCGCTCCTTGCTGCCCAGGTTCAGTGGGCAGATCACTGCCTCCGGTAAGTCTTTGGTCTGCAGATGCCTTACAATTCCTGACTCCATGTACGACAGCATTCTGCTTGTATGATATGAAAACCAACATTTTTTGTTTTTATGTTATAATTTGTAATTTGTTCTCATGGCCTATGATTTAATTAATGCCACTTTGAGAGATGGAATTATTAATTACTCATGCGAAAAAAATTTGAATTAAAAAAATAAAAGACCATGCTCCTTATTAAATTTAACATCAGCTGTGAGTTGGGGAGAAATCAATTCGAAAATTTCAATTCGTGTGGTATTCAAAATATAAATGGCTTACTGATAGTCAAGTTAGGAATAAATTATATTGTTATTTATTATTTCCTATCCTATTATTAAGTCCAGGCGTATTAGTTTCATTTTTTTTTCAATGTCTCCCAAGTCCCCAGCCAAAAAAATCACGCCTCACCACTGAATCCAGGGATGGATATGCCTATATTACCTACCTCCCTTAAAACTATTACTGAGAAAAATTATAGGACGTCTAATCGAACATTCTATTTACAAAATTTATTAAATCGTAAACATAAATTATAAATTACAATTACATTTTGATTATAGATTTTCCAAAACAAAAATAATATAGCATTATATTATATAATCATAGATAATTGAACGAATAGACACTTACATAGGATTGAAAAGTGGTGGTAAAATACTGTGTTTAGGGTAGACAAATGACATTGATCTTGTCAAATATGGATCTGTAGTCAACACATAACGACACCGTTCTTTGTCATCCGTTATTGACCTTTCGATGTATAACATTAAAAAATTTAGCCAATTCTTATCGTGTAGAAGCAACGTTCCTATAATATTGTATAATGTAGAAAAAAATGTTAGTACAAAATTAGGGTAGGATTTTCTCCAAAAATGAAATATTATTTTCTTTCACAAAAAAAAAAAAAAATAGGTACTTCATTATAATAAAATATAGTAAAATATTAATTTCTTTTAATTATTCAGAAGTGTAATAATTTCAAATTAAAATATGATGTAAAAATTATCGCTTATTTTTTGATCACTTAATCTTTTAATCTACTATATTTTATCATAATGATTTTAAATTTTAAATTGAATTTATTTAATATTTAATGTTTACTAATTTACTTGTACGTAAAAGTATATAGGATAATATTTTAAGCCTAAAAATTATGGATATATCACTTTAAATTAATAATAGAGAGGCAGCGTAGAGGAATACGGTGCCTCATTTTTAGAATAAAATGACTACGATTCAATATTATATATATATATACAGTAAAACATTGAAATTACTAGATTTTGTATCGTGTGATTGTATCTTGAAAAGTTAATTATATCTATTGAAATCTGTACTATATTTAATTGGATTTTCTTACCTGATGAAATATAATTTAAAATTGTATCAATTTCGTCGATATTTATAACCATAAATTGACCATTTCCTTCGAACATTGATTGTTTAAGTGGCTTCAGATCATCATCCACCTTGACAATGTACTCGACAGCACTACCCTCTGAAGAAATCCATCGGTACTCATTACTCGCAATATCTTCTATTCTTTTTATGGGTAACGTAAATTTGGACAGTGTTAAAAACGCAGTCAAATTTGCCGTATAGAATGAGGTCAATATCATTATGAATATCCACCATGTGGCGAATATAAGTCTAGCAGAATCTATACAAATATTTAGTTTAAAATATATAATTACATTGCCAAACATCAATTACAAATTTATGATTTATAGATGTAATATTTTCGTATACTTAAATAGATACTTGCCACCGAGAGAAGGAAAGAAGGTTTCTGTACTTATAAATTAAATGTATAAGCATACACTGTAATAGTATCAAAAGGGCTAGCCGGTTTAATCTTAATAAATTAATAAATAATCATAAATTCACATAAAATATAATAAAAAATATGAAAAATATGAATAATTAATAACAAAAAACTATTGTAATATTATCAGACATACTCGTAATTAAATGGATTAATAAAATTATTAAATCAATTGCACTAAGTACTCTATATAATAATTTTGAAGTTATATCCGATTTACAGTTCGATTAATATTTTCCATATCTATCATACCTATACATACTATTATTGTTCCCCATGCGATAATAACGACAGCCAGTAATCTTATAATATAGGTTTATAACATGAGGTATAGTAAATTGATCGTATACATTTGGTCATGGTAAAATTGGTTGTTTGGTAAATTGGTCGCTTAGAAAATTAGTATATAAGTAAAGACCGGATTTAAACGCATTTTAAATTGTAAAATATGCATGCAAACATACACTAAAAAACGTAAAATATGCAAGAAAAAAATACATAACATGCAAAATAAAATTTAAAATATTTATTAAATTTTTTATTTGATTTTAATTTTGCAGTGATAATTATTTATTATTTT